ACAATGAAGTCAGAGAGGGCTTGAGCTTTGATGGCAGTCCTTGGTTTGTAATGAATATCATATTGTCCAAGCTCAATTGCCCACTTGACCATTTTGCCTGAAGTTTCAGGTCAGTGAAGGATTGGTCTCAATGGATAAGAAAGAAACGCAGTAATTGAATGTTCTTGGAAGTAAGGTCGGAGTTTCCGAGCTGCGGTAACTAATGCATATGCCAATTTCTCCATGGGTGGATATCGCAACTCGGCTTCATGTAAAGCTCTACTGATATACTAAATAGGATGCTGTTGATGTCCTTCTTCTCAAAGGAGAACAACACTGATAGCAGCTTCGCTTATTCCCAAGTATAAGTACAACATTTCATCTGAAACCGGCTTCTTTAAGGTCGGCGGTTGTGTGAGTGCTTCTTTAATGTTGACCAAGGCTTGTTGACATTCCTCAGTCCATTCGAAGTGTTTTTCTTTCTTTATAGCTTCAAAGAAAGGTCTGCAACGATCTGTTGACTTGGATTTTAAATCTATTTAGAGCAGCAAGTCGGCCGGTAAGAGCTTGAACACCTTTAACCGACGTGGGAGGTGATAAGTCCAGAATAGCCTATATTTTCAAGTGGTTAGCTTCAATTCCATGTTGTGTAACAATGTATTCCAGAAATTTGCCTGTGCCGACTCCAAACGTGCACTTTTTTGGATTTAACACCATGGAATAATCTCTGAGGATGTTGAACATTTCTTGTATATGATTTATGTGGTCAGCAGCATGCACTGATTTGACTAACATGTCATCAACGTTGAATTCCATTGATGTCCAATGAGTTTAGCAAACATCTTGTTTACTAATCGTTGATAAGTGGTACCAGCATTTTTGAGACCATATGGCATCATAGTTTAGCAGTATAGACCTCGGGTTGAATAAAATGAAGTATGTTCTGCTTCCTCAGGATCCATAGGAATTTGATTATAACCCGAGTATTCGTCCATAAAGCTCATCAATTCATGTCCCGATGTGGTGTCCACCATATAATCAATATGTGGCAATGGATAACTATCTTTAGGACATGCTTTGTTCAAATTGAAAAAGTCGATACAAAGTCGCCTCATGCCATTACTTTTCTTGACCAACACGGGATTAGATACCCAAGTCAGGTACTTTGTCTCTTGAATGAATTTGTTATCTATAAGTTTCTTGACCTCTTCTTCCAAAGCTTTTTGTCGATCAGGACCGAGCTTGCGCCTCTTTTGTACAACTGGCTTTATTGTGTTGTCCAGATTAAGTCGGTGACTGGCTACCTTGGGGTTAATACCTTTCATATTTTCGTGTTTCCAAGCAAAGACATCAGAGTTTGCTCGGAGAAACTGAATAAGTTGAGATCATACAGGTTCTTGGAGGTTGGCCCCAATCCGAAGCGAGTTATCACATATAGGCTCATCAATGAAAATTATTTCAATTTCTTCGGATGGTTCAGCTCGGTCCATCTTGTTTTTTTCTTTGAATTGAGTCTTAGGATCTAGTTTATCCTCTTCCTTTATTGGTTCTTTGCCATGACGTCGTCCACGATCTTGAATCACACTGTCTTGTGTCATTTCTTCCGAGTTCGTCGATAACTCAAATTTTTTTGTTTCCATCTCGGTTTCATTAATACCAAGTTATTATATGTTTGCTGAAGATTTTTGTCAACATTTTCCTCAATATTTTCTGCCATATGGATTATCCGAGAGGGTTCAATCCAAGGTTTGGTCCACACCATTCCTCGGGCCTCATATTGATCTCCATAATGAGTTCCTTCTCCGTTGTTCGTGGAAAATTTTAGAGCATAATGAAAGATTGAAATTGCGTCACGAAGTTTATACAAAACAGTTCTTCCCACAATGGATTATATTCATTTTTAATATCCATCACCTTGAACGTCTCCATAATGACTTTTGAAGCTTGTCCAGGGACTCCGAACTGAATTGGCATAGAAATTTAACCAAGCGTTAATGTGATACTTCCATCAAAGCCTTGAACTTGGTCTTTACAGGGTTTGAGCTCTGCGGGATCAATCCCCATTTGTTCAAAAGTTCGGAGCATTAAAATGCTGAAATAAGCACCTGTGTCTACCATAATTCTGTGTACACGTATTCCGTAGATTGGAGCAGTAATAACAAGTGGATCAGAGTGTGGATGTGCAAAATAACTTGCATCATCTACGTTGAAGGTGATAGGACAATTATTCCGAGCATTGATTTTGTCTCTAAGGTCAGTTGCCAGAATGGCTTTGCCCGAGTTGTATGCTTGTCGGGCAAATACTTTTGCCTGCCGATGTGATCCATTTGGCTTTCCATTGCTATTATTAATTCGTGGAATATTATAACAAGGGAAACTTGGAGAATCGATTCTCTTCGATGTTTTAGTGCTTGTTGAAGATGAAGCCCGATTTTCGTCCGAGGTGAATGTAAAAACTTCTTTCTCCCCCTATCTTATTCTTTTTGGATTCACAGGTCTATTATCATCTTCTTCATCGTCTGGGAACTCTTGTGGTCTCAATTTCCATTTGAAGTCGGAACTTATGGCAAAGCATTGGACTTGAGTATGTCCAATGAACCTTAACAGAGTAGAAAGTAAACCTAGACATTCATCAGTGTTATGCCCTGCTAACTTTTGATATGAACAATATTTTGATTTGTCAAGTTTAACTTCAGGGGTTCTCACAGGTCGGGGCTCTGGAAGGATTCCTTTTCCTTTGAGTTCTTCGAAGATGGTTGCAGCTCCAGCCGAGTAAATTGTCTGATAACTTGACCTTATATCATTAACATACTTTGCTTTGACTTTTTTTTGATTCAGGATCATTTCGATTTCCTTCAAAGACCCTCCGAACTGGGATTTGTTTTGCTTGTTCCTAAAGAATTTGTTTTTTTTCCTTTTTACTTCTTGTCCCAATTCCGACTTGTTGGAAGAAAAGTAAAAATTTGGAATCGACATTGATTCTTCAGCGATGATATGTTGCTGGGCTCGAGCTAAGAATTCCTGAAATGAGCTAGGTTTGTTTTGGCATATGGTCCAACGGAACAAAGAATTCGGTTTGAAACCTGCTATAGCAGTAACCAGTAATGTCTCAGGATGACATTGCTCCATATTTTGGACTCGTTCATTGAATCGTGCTATGCAGTCTTTAACACTTTGATCTTCTTTTTGTACAATGTTGGCAATCGATTCTTTCGGGATAAAAAATACTCGGGCCCCAAGGAAATGAGATCAGAACGCCGACCTCAATTGTTGCCACTTCCAAATTGAATGACGAGGTAAAGAGTGATACCATTTTTGTGCCCGAGGTCCCAGAGTTAGCGAAAACATACGACACCTCATTGTATCAGTAGCCCCGTGGAGGTCCATCCATGAAGTATATTGACCGAGGTGTGCATCTGGATCCGAGGTACCATCTTAGAGACTTGTGGAACTTTAATTTTTCCAGACAATGGTTCCATAGTAAGTTGAGAGGCTAAAGGAGATTCTGCCTCCAGATAAATATTATCCAAGGTGGAGGCTCTTCGTGGAGATTCTCCATGGACTCGATGTCGAGTTTCTAACTCGGCAATTCTTTTGCGCAGAATTTCTAGTTCAACCGACTCGTGCCTAAGACGATTTCTTTCAATGGTATGGCGCAAGTCAGAATGTCTGTCTGGTTGTTGTGTTGCTGGTGGCGGAGGCACCGGTGACTGACTATAATGTCAAGAATGGCTTTCAACAGTTATTTCAGGTATGTTGCCTTCTGGTAAATTATTAACGACAGGAATATCGCCATGACTTTGAGTTGCTACTTCATTTTGCAGCGTCTGAGTCTGTGGCTGCGAAGTTGCTTGAGAAGCTACAACATGTGTATTATGTTTGGATCGACGGCGTTTGTTGCCTTATTAGATTAGTTTGAATAGTAGTGTGATGAGGAATAGGAACAGATGGCCCTGGTCTTGCTTGAGCCATGAAATCAAAGAGATTCTTATGAACTCTGGATCTTGAAACAAAACAGAGTAGTCAAGAGTCATAGGAGGAGCAATCGTTCCCCTGGTAGATTGAATGAGATTATGGCTGGTTCCAACTTCTGGATTCCTTTCTTGACGTCCAGAACTTGCCATGATGATTGTTTTGTTTGAAATATGAAAATATATTTGGCTGAGGTATGTGTTTTGCGTACAGGATAATGAAGGTTAACCCCAAATAACTTATGAGGGCCTTTCTTCTAGCGCCAAATTGTTGTTGTATGAAATTTAACAACGATAATAAACAATAGCAAGGTGTAATTAGAGTTAAAGCGATGTAAATTTTCGTACTATTTTTGTCTTTTTGCGAGTACAGGAAGTCGGTTTTGTGTAATAACCGAGCTATTTTTATGTTTCCGTGTACAATATGCGTAAAAAGATCCCCGTACAATTATAAATTCTGCTATTTATAGTGTGGTGAGTTTGACTTTTCGTGCAAGGTAGATCATATCGCATTTAATGTTGAGTAGCTTCATTAAAGCGGTCTGTAGTGCAATGGAGGGACAATAATGATTACTATTTTGATAGGTGGCCCAATCAGAAATGTGCCTTGTCGCCAGCTTTAGGATTCAGTTACCTCGGACCTCGGTTTAAGTGGATAACCTTCAGGAAAGAATATTCGCGAAGTCGGTTTCTTATATTTTATGCGGAGTCGGTTCACCGCCTTAAGTAGGTCGGTTCTCATTTATATGTGCGAGGTCGGTAGTTGTCTCTTTGTACCGAGGTGGGCTAAGTTTGTTGCAGAAGTTGAGCTGAAGAAAGTGTTTGAGGATAATGTCAATAGATTTTTTTTAATCTTGATAAATCAAGTCGGTTATAAACAATGACTTTATTATTAGCTAATATTAGTAATTATATAATAAAATAAATAAAAAGAATATAATTGCTTGATTAATATAAAAATAACGAAAAAAAACAGAAAAATAAAATGAGTTTTTATTAATTGGCAAATATTTATATAGTTTGAGGTTTAAATAAAAAGAAAGGAAACAACTTTAATGCGGCGACGGATATTCCAATGGCGGCACGCAACTTCTTCATCTCCTCTCGAAATTGAACCCATTCGTCTCCACCAAAGAAACTCGAACATAAAATGATCCACCAATGTACTTCCAAGGTTTCTCAATCGCCCTTTCCTAACTTCAAACCTCCGCCGAGGAAGCCCAGCTCTCTAATTGCTCACTGCGGATCGAATCTCGAGCTAGATTCAAAGCCGCCGGCCATCAGATTGGGCCCCCACACGGGCCGAGACCCGAATGTCAAGAAGCCCGGGTGGCTAAGGCAGAAGGCGCCGCAGGGGGAAAAGTACGAGGAGGTGAAGGAGTCGCTCTCCAGGCTCAAGCTCAACACCGTCTGCGAGGAAGCTCAGTGCCCCAACATTGGCGAGTGCTGGAACGGCGGCTCCGACGGCATTGCTACTGCCACAATCATGGTGCTCGGGGACACGTGCACGAGAGGTTGCCGGTTTTGTGCGGTCAAAACGAGCAGAAACCCGGCGCCTCCTGATCCCATGGAGCCCTACAACACTGCCGAGGCAGTTGTCAGCTGGGGGTACTTTTCCATTTTCTTCACTCAGATTTAGGGTAGTAGTTATATTATTATTGTTGTTATTGTTGTTGTGAATGGATAGTGTGTTTAGCATCTTTTGGAAATCCTTATATTATTTTTGCCATTTGTTGATTGATAAGGAAAACATTCAGAATCGTAACTTGTATTATAGTGAAATGCTTCAACTCCCCTTTGATTAGTTAGTGCCACAGGGTTTTAGGCTAATGAATATGGAGTTTGCATGTTTGTATTTATGGTGCGTTGGCTTTTCATTTTCCAGTGTGGATTATATTGTTGTGACCAGTGTGGACCGAGATGATCTACCTGATGGTGGAAGTGGCCATTTTGCTGAGACTGTCAAAGCAATGAAGGTTCATTTCTGAGTTCTGTGAATTGGTTTTCCTTAGCTTTGATTGAGATATATTTGTCACCCATCACATTAGCACTTCCATATATTTGGGATAATACTCATAAAGAAGTCAAGTATCGCGTTTAACTTGCAATGTCATATGAACACGAGTGACATTTTTATTTCCGCTTTCGATGAAGTTGACATTAACTATTGCGTTTAAGTTGCAATATAATTATTTTGACAGAGGCTCAAGCCTGATATCATGGTTGAGTGTTTAACGTCCGATTTCCGGGGTGACGTGGAGGCTGTATCCACTCTTGTTCAGTCAGGGTTAGATGTTTTTGCTCACAATATCGAGACTGTTAAACGGCTGCAGAGGATTGTTAGGGATCCTAGGGCTGGGTAAGTAGTTGCTGGTTGCTGATAAATTTATTTCATTAGCTTTGGAAGTATCATCTTATGTTTCTCAATCAGGAGAAGCTCTAAGAAATCTAAAAAGATAAATTTTATTTATTATGTCTTGATGATTTGTTTCTACATAGATTTCTAGTTCTTCTGCTATTAGCAAAAATGTGCTTACGCATGTGAAGTTTTTTTAATATCAAATCGTGCCATAACAAGAGTTTAAGATTCTTTTGGTTTGCAAATGTTTCCAACAAACTACCTTTCCTATCATATTACTTGCGGTAAAATCAGCCTGCTTGATGTTAAAAGGATTACTTTCTCAGGTGTTCATTGGCACAATCAATGGGCCTCTAGTACTCTACTATGTTATTTTTTAAGAATAACCCATTAACATAATACATTTAAAAGTACTATACTCTGTTAAATAATCCATAGCTGGACATCTATTCTCATGTGGGCATTTCAATCCCACCAAGTTTTCTCTCTTAGTAGTTTTAATAACTCGTTAGGAGTAAGACATAGTGTACATCTCCTAAGCTCGAGTAGTCACTAGGGATAACTCGCGGCATGTTACATCAAACTTCTATGCAGAACACATTAGTCATATATTTTTTTTTTCGAAACAGTAGATTTATATTAACCAAAAAAAAAAATAAAAAATTACATAGTAGAAACCAAATAGAACAACTGAATCAAACAGCTCCCAAAGTTGAATATCGGATAACTGCTCACATGCAGTCTAGTCTCTAGAGCCACAAAACAACACAAAAAACTAAAACGAGAACTACCAAGCTCTCACATGGGAGAATACAAAACTCCAGTAATGAGGACTAGTCAAAACAAATGAAAATAAAAACAAGAACAAACCAAAGAGAAACACTAAGAGAAAAAATACTAAGTAGAATAAAATCTTCCCTCCTCAAACTAACTTTTCGGCACCATTGTAACCACTGGCCTGCCAATAGTCGTTCATGCGCAGGCACAGTCCAATACCCTTTGATGTCACCCATCCTAAAGACGAAACAAGCTCGCAGGTCCAAAACTCTCAAACCTGGAAACTTCAGTTCACTCGATCCGCTTAGTCAGATTGGATGAAGAGTCAGGACATAAGCCCAAATCTTATCCGAAAGAGAAAATTAAAGGATAGGAAGATATTACATCTCAAAGGAACACTTGCTTCAACCAGCTGCCGGGAAAGTACCCCAGTGATGACTCAGCAAGTGGTCAGACGGGTTGGCAGCACACAGGAGAAGAAGAGAAGGGGGGATGGGGCTCTTCTATTTTTTGGTTCTAGGGAGTGTAGAGAGAGTGCAAAGAAAAGGAAGGATTATTCTATTCTCTCCTTAGTCATTATTCATTAATCAATTGTATCGCGTAGTACATATGTAGATACCGTATTATAATCCAAGAAATAGGGGTGGTTATCTTTAAGACATGTTCTTCTGTCACTCTTATCACTTTGAAGAAGATTGAACATTTGTTTCAAGTTTCAACATGGCTGATTTGAGATTCTGCTGTTTGTTTAAGGCGAAAGAGGTAGGGGCATTGACTTTTGTAGCTTTGACTTAGTTTGGTTTTCTTTTAAGTTTGTGTACTTATCTATAACCACTGAAGATTTAAAATTTTTGGTTGAGAAGCATTTTAGCTCTTGTAACGTAAAAGCTCTTTGGTTGCATGGTACAGGTATGAGCAAAGTTTATCTGTGCTTAAACATGCAAAGCTGAGCAAGGAAGGCATGATAACAAAATCATCGATCATGCTGGGACTTGGTGAAACTGATGATGAATTGAAGGAAACCATGGCAGATTTAAGGGCCATTGGGGTTGACATTTTGACCCTGGGACAGTATTTACAGGTGTGAGCGTGAATATAAATGAACTTCAAAGAAATCTAAAATATTTCTTTCTTTTCTTTTTATCAACTTATCATGGTTGTCATCATGAGTTCGCTTCGCATTCGTGGTTCTTACCGTATTTGATTATGCTTGTTTCTTTAATTCTTTTATGTATTATGACTTTTATTTTTTTATTTTAGTTTTTAATAATCTGTGAAGCCAATACTAATGTCATATTGCTACCATTGGTAAAATGCAGCCGACTCCTTTGCATTTAACTGTCAAGGACTACGTTAGCCCTGAAAAATTTGCTTTCTGGAAAGATTATGGCGAGTCAATTGGCTTCCGATATGTTGCCAGTGGACCTTTGGTAATCTTCTAATCCTATTTTGCTACGTGCCTTTGACTGCACAGACCTTGATTTTTGTTTAGTTGATGTAATTCCGCAATATCATTATGACCATCCTTTTCATTAAAACAAAATTTTGTGGTGTTTCATTTTCTTATCTGTTATTGTCTCTTAAAGGTTCGATCTTCATATAGAGCTGGAGAGCTGTTTGTCAAGACCATGGTGAAACAAGAGAGGGCTAAGAATACACGAGACATTACTATGTGAATTTGGGCCACGCTTGGGCAAAATTTTTTGGAAGTCATTCGAACTTTTGATGTTTAGTCAAAGGAATGTTCTTTTGATTGCCATGTCCGAAACGGATGCCCTGAGGCCGCCTCTTTTGACCCTTTTTATCCCATTCTTTTTCTTTTTCTTTTTCTTTTTATCTTTATTTCAAGTTGAGATATCCTTCAACATTGTATAATTCTTTGCATTTTGGATCGGGCTTTGTAGTGCGGTTGTTATGCATGGACCCGTCTAGAATGCATGTTTATTGTTCGAATTATGCTGGGTTCCTCCGCATTCCATATAATGTTGATCACACTATGTTTAAATGTTCATTTGTAGCACTATGCATATAAAATTTTAAATTGATTCACTAAAATAATTTTTTTTTTATTTTGGTTCGGTCCCCCTAATATGCTTGTTGCGTTGATTATCATTTAGCAAACATCACGTGTAATAAGGCTAATGTCTGGTAAGTTTCCTTCAGTGGAATTTTCTCTCTAGAGATCCGTTTTCCTTGTGAGATTGGGGGGTTTTAGGGTTTTATGATCTCCCTTTTCTTCGTGCGTTCCAGATCTTCTGGTTTCCTCGATTGATGTCGAGGATTTGAGGGCTTGCCCTTTTTCTTTCATCTTCTTCCCGTTGTTGTTTCTTCCCCTTCGTGTAGTTTGGCTTCTTAGTTCTTCTGTTGTAGTGGTGGCTGTTCCCTTATGTCTTTGGGTGCTCTTTCCTTTTTAGTTCTTAATCATGGAGAAAGAGTTCACTGAAATGTTGCAAAAATTTGTAAAAAAAAAAAAAGTGGGGATTGAATTAGATGAATTAGACATAATCCCGACTCTTCAGGAATATGGATTGAGCCTCATAGGAAGAAGTTTTGGGGATAAGAACATAATTTTTGATGGGTTAAAGGCTACTCTAGGGGGAATTTAGGTTACCAGGTTACCGTTCTCGATTAGGTGCATAGGTGTTAATATATTTCAGTTTCTTATTCAGGCAGCTGAGGATATGGACAAGATCCTTAATGGCAAAACTTGGTCCTTCGACAATCAATACATCCTCTTCAAACCTTAGGTCTAGGGACAAATTGATTTCAAGGAAGAGGATGAAAAGATCAAGATATGGGTGCAGGTCCACAGTCTACCTCTCCATTGGGTTGCAACAAACTGGAATGAAAATAGGGGAATTGATAGGTAAAGTCTTAGATGTCCATGTGCCACGAGCAATTGAAATGGTCATATTGTTAAATGCTTGGTGGAACTCTGCCTAGCTGAACCAAGCCTTAGATGTGCGAACATCAATCTGGGCTCACAAAGTAATTGGTTGACTTCAGGTATGAACACAACCAAACCTTCGGCTATTACTGTGGTAAATTAGGACATAGTGATGAAAATTGCTTGTCCAAAAAAGATAAAGGTGAAAAGGTAAGCACACGACCGTTGGATTAAACTATTAAAGTAGAAATCCAACGGATACAATGCATTTACTAGGCACGAGATTCGAGGGACGCAAATCATGAGAAGGTGCAATGATTGAAGTATCTGATAGACAGGACAAGTGGCAGGTGCGAATTCACAATGCGGTCGAAGGGAGAGGTGGTCGAAAACCAGGAGAAAACTCACCAGATGGTCGATACACGGAGGAAAACACTACAGCTTGAAAGACGAACGAAAACCTACTCTTAGATCAAGTCATTCAGACTCGACCAGAGTGGGGGGAGGGGGAGGGGGAGTGTAATATTCCATTCAGTAATTAATAAAAGTAATTATTCTAAGTATGAACTAATTACTTTTATTAATGCTCGTTCCTAGTTTCGAGCCAGTTATTAAGTTATTCAGTTAAAAATTCGACTTTAAGTCGAAAGTATTCTCGGTTCAATATTATTCAATAATCGAGCCAGTTCAGTAATTAATTAATTCCGGTATGTTTATTTTTATAAATGGATTTATAAGACGGGATTAATTAATATAAGATGACGAATAATCGAAATTGAGTATATTTTGATTAATCGTTTAAGATAAGTAGTGAACTGAAACCAAGTATGTTCGGTCATGAGTTGAACTTAATTAAGAAATAGCCGAGCCTTAGTACTAAATACTTAGAATTTTTCTAAGTGTTTAAGTCATCAAGATAAGATCATAATATTGAGTTTTAGCATAAGTTGATACAAGTTAAGTCTTGAAGTAAGGTTAAGTATCCATGAACATTTAAGTGATAAATGTTCAAAGAAGTGAGAAAATTTATTTAGACATTATAGTCTATTTAAATTATTTTAATAGAAATCGAAATTTTTAGAATTTTCGGTTTTACGGTAATCGTTCGGTTTAAGTCCGAATGTGGTTCCGTAAATGTAGAATATTTCAAGATAATTATATTAGATCCTAAGAAGCAATATGTTCATTAAATTGAAGAAAAAAATGTGAGTAAAGAATTTAAATTTTAGACTTTTTAGTTTTACGGTAAACGTTCGTTTTAAGTCCGAATTGAGTTCCGTAAATTGTATTATTCTCGGTTTATTAGCATGATCCAAGACCATATATGAGCATTACTTTTCAGTAAAAGAGTTTTAAAAATCAGCCATTTTGAAAGAAAATGCATAAGTAATTAAAAAAAATAATTTTTATTATTTTGTCCAAAGATTTTTATATGATGAATGGTGACATTTTTTTCAATAATATATGGAATCAATTACATCACATTAAACACGAAATTTTAGTCATCAATTGGTGAGAATGAGATGAGAAAATCACAACAAAGTTTTGCTAAGTCTTTAAGTTAGCATTTTTTTCAACAATTGATAAGAATTTTATTAAACTTGGTGAGAATTTTATTAAACTTGGTGGAATAAGTTTTATCTACCAAAAAGCTCACTCATGACTATAACTAAAGGCCATTTTTTATGATTAATTATGTTTGGATAAGAATACAAGTTAATCATAAAATAGTTTATGATTAATCAAGTTTATAAGTTTAAATTATTTATTTTGTTCATTTCTTCACTCCATTATGATGTATTGCCAATTTGTGCCTATAAATAGAGGCCTAAAAATCAGAGTTCTCACACCAAAGTTAAGTACCAAAAGTTATATAAGAGTGTAAGAGAGAATGAGTAGTAGAAACTTTGGAGAAGTGAAGAATTTAGAAGTGAAGAATTAAGTTACGATTCTAGCAAAAAGGAGGTAATTTACTTATCTTAAAGTTACATGCTTAAGTTCATGTTTTGATAATGAGTTTATATGCTTAGTAGATGATATTAAGTGTTTAATAATGTTTTTATATGACTTAGATATTAAAGTTTTATATGAATATAAGCATGCTAGAAAATAAGTTATTTCCAGCTCATATATATGTCATATGTGTTCAGTTATGATGAAATTTTTACATAGCTATGAAAAATCTGGAAATCTATGCTTCCTATGGTTCATTCTTGTGTAAAAGAGGAGTACATAGGATCAAGAATCAAGTCATTTAATTTAGTATAACTCAAGATATGAATTTTTAAAGTTTATCATGCAAGCTGAATTTTATGTACTTGTTTCCAGCAGCAACTTTAAACTTGAATAAGTCGAGATATATGCATGATAAAATTATGAAAATTTTATGACATGTCTAAATATGAGTTAAGAATATGACTGTTAAGTTTCATAATTTAAAGATGAGAAATGAATAAGTTATGAATATAAGAATGTATATATGTAAAGATAAGTATATATATGCAAAAATATTCATGAAATGTTTAAGTTGTTAAAATGAGATGATCATGAGTAATTCTCATATAAGTGATGAGTAATTTGATGAAGTTTTGATATAATATGCTGAGTATACAATTTTATAAAGATTGTATTAAGTATGACATATTAACATCATGATTAAATGTTATGAGTAAAAGATGATTATGGCTTGAGATTATTTTCACTTTGAAGTTAATTAAGTGAAAATTTAGTATAAGCCATGTTGATATCCGACTTGACTGAATGGAGATTAATCACATTATTGAAGGAATAATCTCTTGAGAAGGTGAACTCACTGTAAAGTCGGTATTAAACTGATATCTGAAGCCAACATCAATAAACCGATTTCAAGTTCAACCGACTATCACGAAGTTTGAATATTTCAACAGAAAGTAATCATTAGAAGCATCTGATTGGACCAACGAAACAAAAAGGCAATCATTGATGTTTCCTGCCGCTTAAAGTGAAGCAGCTCAACATTAAATGCATCTTTATCCATTTTAAGGAAGAAGACAAAAGCCACCGTACTATAAATAGCGGAATTTATGATAGTACGAGGATCTTTTGAAAAATACAAGATACACGAACTTGTAATGATCTCGGTTTTCAACCTAAAACCGACTTCTGTACTCTTGTGATTATAACAAATAAAATCAAATTGAACAATTATCCTAATTTTCTTTACACCCGCTGTGTTTAATTTTAAGTTGTTAATTCAAGACAACAACAGTTTGGCGCTAGAAGGAGGGCGGCTCGATTGTTTGTCTTGTATATGATATAATACAAGAATGTCAAATTCTGGGCGAAACGAACGTAATCCAGATGCTGGAGCTAATCGTCACCCAACTCACACAACTGGAAATTCAACTGTGCCATCTACATCAATCGATTATTCAGCCTTGTTTCAAGATCCAGAGTTCTTGAAAAATTTAACTGATTTTATGGCACGAACAAGAATAGAACCAACCGCAGCGGTTAATCCTCAAACTCGTCCTGCACCAGTTTCGCAAAGGAATGAAATTCCTGCTGCATCACATGCAACTTCCCAACCACGTACACATACATCACAACATGATATTGCAACTCGAAATCGTGGAGTAGTTCCTGTACGAACACATATTCCTGAAGCAGTTCGATCAGAAGCAACTGCAGAAAGCCATTCTGGGCATCGACCACGACAGCCTACTCCGTCGTTGCCCGAAATCTTACGACATGATCAACCCTCTGATTTACGACATACTCTCGAACAAAACCATACTCGTCGTGGGCAAAATGAGTTACGTCGTCTAATTGAAAGGAACCGTCTAAGACGCGAATCAGAGGAGCTAGAAATGTTAAGAAAGAGAATTGCTGAGTTAGAAACTCGGCAAGATGAACATGGAGAATAACCACGACAAATTCCAGTGACGGAAGAAATATATCAAGAGGTTGGAACTCCTTTGGCCCCTCATTTGACCAGGGAGCCTATTCCAACTAAAGTAAAAGTTCCACAAATCGGCT